GAAAGAATAAGGATAAAGGAAACAGCGAAAACGGCAGAATTCTCATGAAAGTAAGAAAGAGAAACGAAGAAAAAAAAAGTTAAGAAAGAATAAGGATAAAGGAGAGAGAGAGAGAGAGAGAGAGAGAGAGAGAGCAAGATAAAAGTGCGAAATCGGCAAAGCCAATGGAAAATAAACTTCATAAATGAAATAGCATCGAACCTTTTTCACCCGATTCGAATTAACCCGAAAATTGCATTAGAGGACGCTCTCAACTTTACACGTTAGCTTTCCTAATCTTCGTCTCCTCTCGCGATCTCTGGTATCTTCATCACCGAAGAGAGCCTGATCGACGAGAGGAGAAACGCATTGGATCGATGCCCATTAGATTCGCACTTTGTCTCCCTTTCTCTTAGTCTCTATCCGTCTCTCTTATTCACTCGATTCCTCCGATCTTTCTTAGTTTGTCTTTCGGGACAGGACAGCATTAGGGATATATATATATAATGTATACACACATAACTGAAAATCGGACAAGGGGCGTGAAAATAAATTTCGCCAAATTTTCTCGGATAAAACAATAAATATGATTTGATTGTATTTTGAAATACAAAAATTTTATTACTCGTCAACTCCACCTCTTCTCTTCCTATGTATAACCATTGACTCTGACCTCCCCTTATCCTCCCTCTCAATTCTTTGTTCAGCAGCGTATATTCCACTATACGAAATATCTAGCGACAATAATAATAATAATTATCGGAAATCTTACTAGCTCCACTTCTTTGGCTTGTGGATTCTCTCTCTCTCTCTCTCTCTCTCTCTCTCTCTCTCTCTCTCTCTCTCTGTCTCTCTGTCTCTCTGTCTCTCTCTCTCTCTCTCTCTCTCTCTCTCTCTCTCTCTCTCTCTCTCTCTCTCTCTCTCTGTTTATAATTATCCATGACTGACGATAATACGATTTTAGTTAACATCAACTCCCTCCCTCTCCTCGTGCCCACACACGCCGGAATCTCTCTCGCAAATAATCAAAAAATCGTTAACGCCAATCAGAGTCGCTGATTACAAATAAAGCAAATTAAAAAAGAAAATCTCAACAACTTCCGAGATTGCTTAGCGAGCAACGATTAAATCGTGCAACGATTTACGATTAAAATAAACGGCAGCGCCATCGCGCGCCGCGGAGGAAAAATTAAAAGTTACAATGCGATACAATTGCCAATGAGATTCTAACGTGTGTGAAAATATTAACCATCTGCAACCCAGCAGTTCTCTCTCTCTCTCTCTCTCTCTCGCTCTATACCTCCATTCCCTACTGCAGTTCCTCTCTCTCTCTCGCACTCGTACCAACATACGCCCAACGCAAGTGACACAGATCCGCACAAAACTTTCACCTGCTCCAGTTCTCTCTTCCCGAATACCATCTAAGCACGCACATTAGTCCTTCCAGTGGTACGCATGCACGCACGAAGGCAAAAGCATCGCTCACGGCACCAGACCGGCAGGGATAGCAATAAAACAAAGAAAAACAGCAGCGCTACATCAAGATATCCCAGAGCAGGGCAATACCGACGAGCACAGTGTCCTACGAGTCGCCAGTGTATGCGCGGTGACAATGAAAATGTAATTATAAAAAAAAAAGAGAAAAAAAAAGAGAAAAAGGAAATATTAATAAAAAAAAAGATAAATCGGTTGGACACGTGGTCCACGAAACGCGCGTAACTTAAAAAGCGCAGGTGCTCGTATGCGCCAAGTGCTCCGGGGGTTCTGCGTGCCGAGTCGTTAGATGCGTGAGTGCGTAAGTTGGTACCGCTGCGTGCGTCCGTGCGTGTCACGAGGGCCGAGAGGAACGCCAGGGGTAAACCAGATAAACGTATGTATACAGGCTGACATTGGTATAGCGCTTGTGGTACCTCTAAGAGTTCTTTGCGAATTTGCGATGCGAAGGAAAAAAAAAAGAGAGAGAGAGAAAGAGAAACGACGATACGGACGTACGATGAGGACGATAACAAAATTTGACGAAAAATCAATAAATAATATTATTAATGATAATACGTGAATGAATCGCGTATCCCGCGGGGCTGATACGTTTTGGTCGCGGGCGGATAAACATATAAACTGCCTCTTTATACACACAATAGATATCGCTCGTTATATAATATATATATAATGACCATATAGATACATATAAATAATAAACTTAATACGTAGTAACTGTATTCGTAATGACCGTAGTTATAATAGAGCTAGGTTTATGACTATGCTTTATGTATAATTTTATTTATAGGATGTGCTACTTTTTTCCTTCTTCTCCCTCGTGTCGCGCGGTCCGGGGCTGGCGACGGGATCCTTTTTATATCTTTTTTTTTTCGATTTTTCCTTTTCCGCCATTATTTTTACGACAATTAACAGAGAACGTTATCTCACGATTTTTCACGTGTCCTTGATCCTACTTGCGAAAGTTTTATAGAGAGGGCGGGAGCGTGGGGGTATACCGACCCACCCACCCCTCCCACCGTCTCAACTAGGTGCGCTTCAGATTTAATTATTCACACGCAATTACCCTTCCACTATTTTCTTCATCTTGCTCAGAATCTTCTATCCGTCCCCTCTCATCAGCCTAGTTCGCTCGCGGAGCACGTTGCCGCTTACTTCTTTTCGTTACTCCGTCGGTAAAGTAGATTACACTTTGCGTTAGCGCTTTGTGTAGTATGCGTGTACGTGCGGTACCTACCCTGTGGGTACTAATTGACTAGCATCGTTCATCACTCTCGTGTATTTTCCAAGCGCCGCGTTTCCACGTCGGACAAACCCTTCAGCCCAACCCCCCCCCCCC